CTGTGTTGGTCTGTTCCCTTGTAGTAATAGGAATTCTCCACCCCTTCAGGTTCGTGACGTGGAAGCTTTAGTGAAACGCTTCAAGACAGATATGCATAACTGTGTCGGATTCATTCAAGAACCCAAAAAGCTGAAGGACACCATCCGGGAGCTGTACAGCAAATATGTACAGGAGAGCGACGTAGTGAGTCTTTATGTCCATGTCGTCACTTCCTTTAGAAATAAAAATGGGCTTCATCACTCATTAAAAGCAATCTACAGCTAAAATGCGTAATTCAGTTTTGATGTTTAATGTGGAGATGAACTGCCCTCCATATCTCAGTCCTGTCATCGTGAACACAGCCTACAGATTCTTCTCTGATATCCTTGATTCCAACTGTAGAGACCTAATTTACAAGGGGGATTCTGATGTCCTCCGAAACGCGTTGGCTGTTTTATCCCCTTGATCTGCTAATAACTCCTGTGGACTCTTCTGTTTGTGGTGACACCCCTGTTTTCTTCAGATGAATTCACTCAAGGCCCCTGCCTTCAGTTTGGGAGTTCTTTGTCTGTGTGAGAGCAGCCTCACTGAACATTTGAGTGCAAATGGGGGACACCAATAACAAGAGATCTTAGCACCCCTTATTCATACACGCCATATCGCAGAGGCTTTAAGCCTGGAATATAAATTTTGGGGTGCCTGATGCTATCAGTGTAACTGACATGTGTCTGTAGCCAATGGGGCTGGTTTACGGTAAAGATTCCATCTGCAATAAAGCCATTTATCCATCACGCACACCTATGGAGTAGAACAAATATAGGAGACCTTGGCACTCCAGCTGTGGTGAAACTACAAGTCCCATGAAGCATTGCAAAACTCTGACAGCACAGATATGACCCCCAGAGGCAGAGCATTATGGGATTTGTAGTTCCACCACAGCTAGAGTGCCAAGGTTGCCTACCCCTGGAGTAGAAGGATAAATTACCCTCTTGCAGTGACCTCCTATTCAGGTGACCTTCTGGATACTTGTATTACCTGCATGGCTGTCTGGGTGCTGGATCAGTAGACAGCCATGCATGTAGCAATCCAGTTACTCCATCTCTGAATTGTGTCCATGCAGGCGGAGATCGTGGGTATAGATGCCGACATCCAGCGGGAGTACGCCCGCCAGCGAGAGCACCTGGAACGCAGCCTGAGCACGCTACAGAAGAAGCTTGTGAAAGACACAGAGATCCATCGAGTGGACAATGTGCGCATCATGCAGGTGAAGATATCGCCGCTGTCACTGTGGTTCATGAAAGCGCCTTGAGGAGAGAGATATTAAATGTCCGATCTTATCCTTTGCAGGAAAACGTTACACTTATTAAGGAAATCAATGAATTACGTCGGGAGCTAAAAGTCAGCCGTACGAAGGTGCACGACCTGGAGGTGGCTCTCAGGCTGGACCAGAAGAATCGGAGGAGCAGCCTTACAGACTCCAAAGGTAGTGACGCTTCTTCTTCTTAAAGTTATTGCCATGTGATACTTAGGGACAAGCATGAGCAGGCCAGGGGTAAAGGAGGAAGATGGCAGGGCACAAGCCACCTCCTCAGCTCAGGGCAGCCAGGTAGTGCCCCTTCCAGTACAAAGTGATTGAGGTAGAGGTTGACCAGTACAGATCCATCGCGCCCCATTACATGAGTTGTCTATAGTTGTGTTGCCAACAACCGATCAGATTTGACTTGTTGCCCTTTCTAGTTACATAGCCTGAGAAAGGACAATTTCCTGTCACTTTTTCCTCAATAGGCAAGTTCCTCTATGCTTTCTTCCAGCAGCGGTGGTGGGCTGTCCCCTTTGCCTTCTTTACGTGGCGGCATTGGGTGGTCCTTTTACTTTCCTTCTGGCGTCGGTGGTGGGTGGTCCTCTTTCTTTTCTTCCTGCAGTAGTGGGTGTTCCTTTTTGTTTCATTCCTACATCGTTGTGGGGTGGTCCTTTTCTTCTTCTGGCGATGGTCCTTTCCCTTTCATACCTGCAGTGGTGGTGGGTGGTTCTGTTCCTTTCCTTCCTGTGGTGTGTGATTCTTTTCTTTTCATACCTGCAGCGGCGGTGGGTGGTCCTCTTCTTTTTCTTGCTGCAGTGATAGGTGGTCCTTTTCCTTTTATTGCTGTGGTGATGGTGGGTGGTCCTCTTCTTTTACCTTCTGCAGTGATAGGTGGTCCTTTTCCTTCATTCCTGTGGTGATGGTGGGTGGTCCTCTTCTTTTACCTTCTGCAGTGATAGGTGGTCCTTTTCCTTCATTCCTGTGGTGATGGTGGGTGGTCCTCTTCTTTTACCTTCTGCAGTGATAGGTGGTCCTTTTCCTTCATTCCTGTGGTGATGGTGGGTGGTCCTCTTCTTTTACCTTCTGCAGTGATAGGTGGTCCTTTTCCTTCATTCCTGTGGTGATGGTGGGTGGTCCTCTTCTTTTACCTTCTGCAGTGATAGGTGGTCCTTTTCCTTCATTCCTGTGGTGATGGTGGGTGGTCCTCTTCCTTTTTCTTCATGCAGTGGTGGGTGGTCCTTTTCCTTTTATTCCAGCAGCAGCGGGTGGCCCTCTTCTTTTCCTTCCAGCAGCAGCAGTGGGTGGACCTCTTCTTTTCCTTCCTGCAGTGCCGGGTGGTCCTCTTCTTTTCCTTCCAGCAGCAGCAGTGGGTGGTCCTCTTTTTTTTTTCTTCCTGCAGTGCTGGGTGGTCCTTTTCCTTTTATTCCAGCAGCGGCAGTGGGTGGTCCTCCTTTTTTTTCCTTTTCTTTTTCTTCCTGTGGTGGCAGCGTGAAGTCCTCGATGCATAGAACAGAACATGAGCATCGTTCTCCTGTGATCCCAGGGTGGCTTAATGACATGCCTCTAGGGGTCGGGTCTTTGATACAGCGGACTCACAGAAAGGGCATTGAATGACACTGGGCATCATTCAGCTCAGAAGATTCCAGAACCGGGCACAGGACACAGCACTGGCGCATGAAAAGGGCGACTACTGCTTTGGAACCTGATTTTACTTTAAGGTATAAACAGAAAGGTGAAGGAATAAAAAAAACGAAAGGAGTTTTCCTTTAAGGAATAAGGAGCCGAAAGAATAAGAGCGTCTTACTAATACTACGAGGGTCTGAAATGGCTGCAGAATGTAACGCAGGGTGCTGTGCTTTCCCACTTAGCAACATCCGTCGCCGACCATCATTCCTCGGGGGTTCTACGGCTAAACATCGATGAGGAGACGGCGAGGATCATTGACATGCAGAAAATAGAAATCAAACGACTGAGGGATTTAATCCAGTCCCAGGATCTCACAGCTGGGATGCGACCCCCATCAGTGGGGAGATTGCCATCATTGACCGCTTCCTGAGACCAATCACACATTCTCAGGTGGTACACTAATAAACAATGCGTTTCCCTGTGGCTCTGTATTGGTGTGTGTGTGTGTTGGGGGTTGCTATGTAACCCTTGCAGTGCGAGGGTAACCCCACTGCAAGAGTAAGTGCTCATTTTGTCTATGGGGGGCTCAAATAAAGCAGTTTTACTCCCCTGATCCTCAATCCCAAAGCGGTCAGCACTCCGCCCCCCCCGCTCAACTCTGGCTGCGGTATGTCCCTCGGCTTCCTCACATCTAATGCAAGTAAATGGACCCACATAAGACGTGATGACGTCAGACCACAGCACCCCGGGGGGAGAAGAGTCTGCGGGTTCCGGTCTAGCAGCCCCGAGGGACAAAGGATCAGGGTAGTATATCTGCTTTATTTGAGTCCCCCTACACTTAACCCTTACAATGCTGGGGAAGCCCCACTGCAAGAGTCAGTTTTTTTGTTTCCCCGCAGTTCTTTAAGCGCTGACACATGACCGCTATAAGCGGTTTATGGAAATTTTTCTAGACAGACCAGTTGTGTCATGTAGTAGATGCAGCAACATCGCCATAATAAAAACATTTGCATTCATGACATATTGCAATAAAGCCTGCAGAGCATCGCAGCCACCATCAGTGATTTGCAGGTTGCTATGCACAGGCTCTTACAAACTGTTCCCCCAGCCTGAGGTCCATAGGGAGGTACAGACCGAGGCTGGCTGGAGGAAGTGTGGCTGGACTACAGTGAGGTGGTTGTTCCCCGCATGTTACTACGGTAGACCTCTGTTATGGGGGAGAGGATAAAATGGGAGAAGGTAGCGTTATATTTGAAGGAGGGGGGAAGGGAGAGTTCAGGGCTTTCTAGTTTCTCCCTGGCTTTCTTTTCAGACATACAGTTGTGTGAAAAAGTGTTGGCCCCCCTTCCTGATTTTTCATTGTTTTGCACGTTTGTCACACTTTAATGTTTCAGATCATCAAACAAATTTCAATATTAGTAGTAAAACTGCTTTATTTGAGCCCCCCATAGACAAAATGAGCACTTACTCTTGCAGTGGGGTTACCCTCGCACTGCAAGGGTTACATTTTTTCCACATGGAAGGGGGGGCCAACACTTTTTCACACAACTGTACCTGCTAATAGAAGGATTGCTTCCTGTTTCAGGGTGACCACGCTGCCAGCTGCCTTTTTAATTCCCTACAGTGTTGTCGCCATCATCGGTAGGTAGGCTCTGTCAGCAAGGTGACACAAGGAAGTGCATAGTCACAGGGCTGAGCGAAATTCTGTCAGTGCATGGAGGAAGTCCATCCTATGGGTATCTTCAATGAGTAAGTTTACAAACTTCTAGATGGGTATAGTTATTAGGAGTGGGATAGAACACATGGAAATTCTGCTTCCTCGGCTTCTTTTGGGGTCCCTAGGTGACATTAGGGGTATGAAAGACCTCTGATGTCTCCATAAAGAGGACCTGTCACATTTGTACTTTATGTTACTTTAATTTTTTAAACACTGTTTTTTTTTTGTTTTGTTACACTCAATTGCTATCACATAAGGAGCTAACAAGCCCCCTATGTAATAGCCGATAGGGTGTGACAGGTCCTCTTTATGGAGACATCAGGGGTCTTTCAGACCCCTAATGTCACCTAGGGACCCCAAAGAAGCTGATGAAGCACAGATCTGCTTAAGAGCCGGAGACTGTACGCCAGGGGTAGCAAACCTCCGGCCCTCCAGCTGTGGTGGAACTGTTGCAAGATTCCCACAGCCACAGACATGGCTCCCGAAGAGAGATGCATCAGGGGATTTGTAGTTTCACCACAGCTGGAGTGCCGGTGGTTTGCTACCCCTGCTGTACACAGTGACACTGGAAGTCATGTAATCCACATCACCTCCGCGTCCAGTGATCGGGGGAGAGATCAGCGGCTGGGAGTCTGTCCCGGGCGCCGCGCGGGGATTGAGGAGCCCGGGCAAACTC